ATTGAGTAGCATTGTACTGATGTTGCATCGTAGTCTGTGAGACAGGCAAGTAGATCTTCTCCACAATCTGACCAATCTTTGTCATAGATTGGGCAATTTGCTGGTGAGATTGAGACTGTTCCGGTGCAAGTATTGAGGGTTGGATGGGGTTCTGCTAGGATGGGGTTACCATATAGGTCAGTTAGTTTTGTTAGTGCTATGGCTTGGTTTTCGGATGTTACTGTTACAAGACGGGAGCGGTCGGGTCGGCTACGGAAAGAGACTTTACCTACTTGTTTTTGGAGGCATTGTTGGAAGAGAAGGGTGTTGTCAGAGTAGGGAGCTGTGGGAGGGATCACGAAAAATCGGTCCCATTTGGCTGCACTGAAGAGAGTATTCAAGATTGTTTTAGAGATAGGGGTGGTAGAAGGGCGAGGGCGTGACGAAGATGGAGTAGTGTTGATGGAGGTAGTGTTATGGAGAGGTGGGCTATAAGGCTGTAAGGTATTAATAAGGGAGGATGGGGTGGTTGATGTTGGAGGTTGTGGGGGTAGAGGTGTTGAAGTTGGGCATGCTGGGAGAGTGGAAATGTTCCTTGAGGGTTGATTATTGGCTACTGTACTAGTAGGCATTGGTGAAGGGGTAGTTATTGCAGTGTTTGGAGCCGTGGTCAAAGGAGAGCCTGGGGTCGGGGAATCAGGTGGGTTTACTTCGTTGGGGCTATTTGATAAAGGGGCAAGCCTCATTGCCCCTAATAGTGGAGATATATTTTCATTACTGGCCATGGGAAGCCTGGATTATGTTGGGGATAAAAGCAGTCCACCCCTCAGGGTCCCCTTGAGGGGTAAGGGCTAGATAACTAAATCAGGGGAATACCGTGCCCATGGCTCCCTCAGGCCGTTCAGGACTGGCACAAAGTCAGCCTTTCATCCTTTCAGCACGGCTCTCACACCTTAGGAGGTGGATAGCAGAAGGGTTTGGTGAAGGACAGAAACAAAAGTGGGAAGGGAAAAAAAAAAGACCATGCATAATTAGTTGAGTCGAGGGCTGAGTCCCAAGGTTGGGGAGTTCCCCATCATTGGGTCCCAGTCTCCGCCTCCTAAGCCCCCCCACGACAACAACGGGCAAGGGATTGGGGGGGAGAGAGAGAATGAGAATGTAACGCTTATTTCACAAAAGTTTATCTTAGCCCATTTTCATTTTTTCCTGATCATGTCAGGCTATGCAACAAACGGCTTGGAAAAGGTTTGGTATGTAATTATCATCATAATGAGTCTATTATATGATACAATTATACTTTTTAGGGAGAGAGAGGGGGGGGGGAAGAGAGAGAGAGAGAGAGAGAGAGAGAGAGAGAGAGAGAGAGAGAGAGAGAGAGAGAGAGAGAGAGAGAAAAAGAGAGAAAAAGAGAGCACTGAGACAAAAGCATTTTACCCCCTATCGAGTAAGAGTCCTCTCTTGAAAAGACAAAATAATTTGATACTGGTGTAACATGTTTGCTTAATAAACAAATCAAAAGCACGCTATAAATCAATTGGTAAAAAAGACACCTATACTCTTGTCTTTTTCACCACAGACTATTTGGGAGAAGAATAGATCCATGTGTCAATATGCTTTATATTGATCTAATATTATATGCAAATGATCTTGTAAAGTTTCAATTGAAGTAACTAGTACAAAATTGTGAATGCTGTGCACATTATGAAGACAGATAAATTACTCTTTTGCTATGAACATTAAATTTACCATCTAAATACAATGCCTACATATTTTTCAATGAAACATCAAAATATTAAATATTCATCTTGAACAATTAGCATAAAAAACATTGTTAATCTTCTTCAACTCACAAAAATAACCATAATGTGTTCTGCCTGCCTTTATCCCTGTCTCATTATGAAATGACAAAACTACTTTAATGAGCATCCATTATTTCTACTGAATTACCTTAATCACTGTATTCATATACAACCTTTGTTAGCTTTCACACTAATGATTAATGGTTACTGTATTTTACACTGATTTACCAAAATAAAGTTTTAGACCTTTCTGGACACAACAGCAGAGAGGACAATTCCACTTCATATTCTCATTATATTCAACTGGGTAAACTGCATTAAAAAACTATCTGCTCAGTGGCCAGACCAGAAGTAGAATCAGAACAAGGAAAACCCTGAGACCCGATGCCCTTCTCATGATATGACTGAAACAAAGCATTTCCATTCTGCAGAGCAGTATCCAGCAACAAGTGAAAACCAACTAGGCTACAGTACATCAAGTGGAGGTAGGTGTTGCCACTATAAATTTCAGTTAAAGGACATTAGTTCTAAGGATCAATAAAAAGTAAATAAACAATAGATGCTTAAAATAGGACAATATATATATTTTTTTCAACTGCAAATTTAATGCAAGTAGAGTTTCCACACAAGCTCTAGAAACCTCAAAACCTTTATTGCAACAATGAATCTTATCTCATCTGCCTTCTATATGTAACTATCCAATAAGATAACCTTTGCCAACTCTTAGGGATTTCCAAGCTTCCACAGCCTTCTACACATTTGGACCTTTGTAACCACATCAATAATATCTCTACCAACTACAGCACTAAATATTAACATGGCAATATATAATTCTCTTCTGAAAACTATACAGACTGCTGTAAACTACAATTCCATACTCTGTATTTTTTGTACTTCATCAACCAAACATTAAATATTGTTAAGGCAAACAGACTTACTTCCTGATTCTATTTGGCAGGGTTCCATCCAGGCTTAATGCCACACTGGTTGGAAGAAGGACCAGGAATGGCAGAAGGATATGACAACAATAGCTTGAGGTCGATTATAGAAATGTTGGGAAAAAATTACTTAAAAGAGGATACTGACACTTTGGGGTCACACAAAGAATATATATAATTGAGCTCAACATTTTCTACTTTTAATCATTAAGAATACACATGACAATAATTCCATTATCATTGAAATCAAATGCAAATGTATTGGACCTCTTATGGATATTACAGAATTCTTGTATTAGAAACTTGGTCACAGTGATAGATATTTTCTGGCATAAGCTGTCCCTTCAATAGGATGATAAACATCAGTGTTAAACTTGTTTCAAACCTGACTCTAAAGCAACAGTTTCTGGATTAAATTATCTCTCTGCTTATTCTATATTTGAATTCATTGCATGTTCTAACTGTAATACAAGCAAGATCATCAGATTACGAAACCGAGTATTTGTTTTTTATTCATGTTTTCTTTATATATACACATATATATACATCTATATATATACACATTCATATACATATAAATATATACATGCATATATATAAAACAAACACACACACATACATGTGTGAGTGCATGCATTTATGTTAACTATTGCTTTGCAACATCTGGCATTTCACAGTCACAGGACAATACCAATTCTATTTATGTTAGATTACATTTTTATAAACTTTACTGGTAAAGCTTAAGAGATCCATTAATAAAATGACAAATGGTGTAACAATTTATTTTTCAGAGTAAGTTATGACAAAATTTTGTCATTTATGATAATACAAGTTGCTGCCTGAAATTATAAAAATATTACTGAATTAAGTGACAAAGGTGCAGCAAACAAATGCTTTATTGTTTGGGGGGAAAAAAGTATTTTTATTTGCCAGAAATGCACAATGCCATCCAAATTCTTTCAAGCAAACTGGTTACACACAAGAAGTGTATGAGCTGTTGCTTCTTCCAAATACTATTCATTAATTTTCAGTAAAATAAACCATGACCACACAATTAGTCAAGGTTTGTTGCTATCCTTAAATTGGTCAAGACAAATTGGTAGCTGCCAGACGCTCCAGAACATGTAAGTAGTGTTCCTCCAGATCATTATATTGGCGTTCCAAACTCTCCAGGCGCTGTTCTTTGCTAGTGATGGTCATTGTGGCTTGGTATTCTTCTGGCTTCAGTATCTTTTTCAGCTTCTCCATGTCTCTATCTTCTTTCTGTAAAGAAAGATATTTGACAGATTTAGGAAGATGTCACAGTCTTCACAGAAATAGTATTATAGTATATAATCATAAAGTTGGAAAATTCAAATGGAAGTAATGGTTAAAATTTCAATCACTTGATAATGGCAATTCAAAATTAAGAAATAAAATTGCCCAATAATAATAATAATAATAATAATAATTATGGAGAGAGAGAAAGAAAATGAATATCAATGCATGCAGACTGTTACAAAACACATACCTGGTACTGAACATTAAGCCGGTTCTTAACTTCCAATCTGTATCTTCTGTAAGATTCTTTATCTGATCGGTTTGTTATGTGAAGTCTGAGGATCTCATACACACGTCTAACTTGTTTCTGTAATGTACAATTAATCTTTAAAATTTGAAAATCTAAAATAATAACAACAACAACTCTGTTACCTTGACTGCAGTTAATGCTACAAATTGTAACATTAAGCCACTGAAGAAAGGGAATTCACAATGCTCTTGTTTTATGGACAGTGCATGTTCTCAGTATGATGTGGTTAATATCCCAACAAGTGAATATTTACCATTAGTTCTCTTAATCAGCAGCTAATTCCACAATATGTGCCTAGTCTTATTTGCCACGACTGAAAAATATCAAAGCCTGTCAGATTCCCTTCTCCATTTCTTCCCATGAAGGACATGTTTGTAGTGTCTGTTAACCCATTGCCGACGGGCATGCCATGCCATGCCCACTGTGAGTTTACTCGTTTGATTGTTTTTACACATAGATGACTACACTTGTACTAAGTCACTAATGAGCCAGTTACGAGTACTACCTGTCTTGCCCGTTTACCCTTTTCTTTAATTTACGAAAATGTTTTCCGTTATCTTATTTTGCTGTTACTTATGTTTTTAACATTATAGTAATTATAATGTTTACAATAAAGATAACATCATCAATATTCATAGCACTAGTAAAAAATATATTTTCCCGCCAATTCAAGGAAAGGTGAAATCAGGTAAGGCAGAGCCATTCATTTCACAAAAAAATATAAAGAATGAGCACATCATTTTCCACATTTTTTATTCATTTTCCCTGGCGGCAATGGATTAATAAATATCTGGTACTGTTTGAGAAGTTTCTTTTAGCTACACCCATACCCCTATTTCCTTTACAGGCCCTCTTTTGTCTTAGCCAAGCAGTCATGTTTTCTTTTGAATGAAGAAGCATGGTGAGTGTGGGGTAGTAATTCTGGTAGTACAGATAGTCCCCTACTTAAGAACATTCTACTTATGAACATTCCATACATACAAACAAAATTTTTTAAGTACTAAAGTCAAAAAAATTGTTTGAAAGATGCTAGCAAACTTCAAATTTCCCGGGCGCAAATATAGTTCAAGAGTCTGGTACTGTATAAAGTATGTCATACTTATTGGGATTTATTTACAGGTATTCTTAATGTAAACAAAACTTTAAAACAATGGGAAAAAAGGTAATGGAGACCCGACTTTCGACATACAAACAAATCAACTTATAAACAGCCTCTCGGTCCCCATTATGTTCTTAAGTTGGGGACTTACTATATATGGCACCTTTCATCCATCTAATATCACACAGTTACTTCCTGGTGTATCATCTTTCTACTATTTACTATTAATATTTGTGTTGACGCAGCAAATAATTATTCAATGAAATTTCTCAAACACATTTGAACGAAGATATAAAATACCACATGTTATGCTCTGCATGCTAAACAGTATGTTCATTTGACTGGCCATTACTGCAGTGATTTATGAGCTTTAGCCCCTAAAAAGAAAGGTGAAGTGACTTTTTTCGCTTTGTTCACTGGGAAACTGTACATGCTGCAATAGTTTTCATTGATGTGGAACATTTTGTTCCCCAAAGCTTCTGATTTTTCCCCTATGCAGCCAACTGCTAACTGTGCCAGACACGTGGTCTAGTTTGGCAAGTGAAACTCATCAGGGGGGTGGGGTTGCAATAATATGGAAAGAGAGAAGTGTTTGATGAGAACTCTTTCTATGAAAAGATTTAGCAGCAAAAACATATCCTATAGTAAAATCCTCTGATAACACTGTGAAAGTCCTATATTACCAACTGACTGATGAAAGTGTACACACAGATCAAACATACATATTCAATTTTTAGGCAGTTTATGGATTTGGAAAGAATATATGACAACTGCTGACTGATAAGGTGTTGAGATGATTGATACTTTCACCTCTGCTTTACTAGCAATTGTGCAATATATTTGATCACATTCGTTTCCATTCATTTCATATTTGTTACAAAAAGAATCAATCAACAAACTGCATTCAACTGAATTTTTTATGTTCCCTACTTTATGAAAGATGGAATACAATGCCGCATGGTTGGTTTAGTACTGGCCTTCTGGTTTCATACCCAGAGTGACCTAGATTCGAGGCCTGGTCAGGGAGGATTCTTATATATCCCTATTTAATTATGCTTATACAAAAGAATAGGTGTATAGACTGAATACACTTTATAAACATAAGGCTAGGAACAAATACTGTATGAACTTCATAGCTTTAGAAAGAAGAGTGAAGCTTCCGCCAGATATAAAACAAGATGGCTTTAGTAACAAGTTAAAAAAAATATATATATCTCCTTGCAGATTTCCTTACCTAAATATTTTCATTAAAAATTGGTATAATTGAGATAACTGACATGGTTAGCAGAGACAAAACTACATAAATGAACCATATAAATGAATATGCTATCTTTATCTAAAGGATATCACATCCTCTCAGCTGTCCACAGACTTCTAAAGAACTTACTTTATTCAGCTTTAACTTCTCTTGGGCTTCTTTAGCCATGGCTTCAGTGAATCCTTCAGTCAGCTTTGATGGCTGGAACGAGTCCATCTTCAAGCAATTTTTGGAGTCAACAAAGTCTCGCAACCGTACAAAGTTATCTGAGGGATCCTCCACTGAAAAAGAGTCAAACAAGTTTCTTGAGTATTATACTGACAATTCCCATCCTTTAGTACCTCACTGCTACACAATATTGAAAGCAATCATCTGTGGCATTTTTTTTAGTCAAATCTATTTTCTACAATGCCATCTACTGTCAAAAAGGAAAACACCATCCAACAGTAAATAAAAGTGAAAAAAACAAAGGTCATCTAAAAATAAGGACTTTGCTCCTGCAATTTCTAGGGCAGTTATATTTTCGTGACCAGATGCATTATATTTATTACCCTCTTTTACTCTAAAATATAACTATTACATTTTAGACTCACTAGTTATATCTATTAAAACAATAATGGACAAATGACATGTCGTCAACTGAGGCAACAGTCCTTTGCAGGTGTTTACTGCAAATGTTACTTATGGGTACCAAGAACAACTATTATGCTGCAACTGGCAGTCAGCACATCTTTTCACCAGTGATACTTAATCAACAAGTGGCTCTCATGAGAACCAGTACAAGAATCTGACCTACACAGTTTCATATACAGAATAAGTGCAAAGTGGAAAATTCCATTTGACACCTGCTAAATACTTGATGTATTGTTTATTATTTTTAAATAAATGTGCAAGACATCAAAGGCCTCATAGAACTATGGTAAAGTATTGTGGTGGGAAGGGTTTAAAGAAGTTCTTTATTAGAACAAAATGTTTTAGATTTAAATGGTCATATGGCATTACAAGATAGTATGGTAGTAAAAGAAGTAGAAAGAGGGGGAGTGAATGAGGTAAGGATTGATGGAAGGGGATGGTTTAAGGACAAAGGGTGATTAGATTAAATGGAGGGTATTCATGAAAAAGAACAAGCGGTTAACTGAAAAGGTGGGGTTATTTCGAGAAGATGTTGGACTAGTTGTGGGCTGGGAAGTGGGACATGGGAAGTGGGACATAGGAAGTAGGAAAAAGAATAAAAGTGACCAATGGAAGTCTAGGTGAAGGGAAGGAGAGCAAAGAGAAAGATCAAGGCATGAGAAAGACTGGGTATGCCTGTCAAAGTGATTAGGATGGTCTGAATTAAGGAGGCAGTCAGTATATGGGAGAGAAAGTGTTCTAAGGAGTGACCTCAGGAAGTAATAGTTCAGTCGCAACAGTTAAAATCTACTATCAAGAAAGGTGATTGGAGCTGAGAAAGTAAGGATTCAAAGGTTATAAAGTCAATAGGTAAGGAAGGGGAGAAGTAGACCGAAATAAGCGCAATTCAGCAGCACAGAAAAATGCGGATAGCTGTGCAAGGTATAGTGGTTTGTAAGGGAGATATGACATATGGTATTTTATGATTTACATGTACGGAAGATGCAGATAGATTGTGAGGGGATGATACAAAATAGTAATTAGGAATTGGTACTGAAGGATGTGCAAGTAACATTTCTTGGAGGCAGATAACAGATAGGTGGTGATGAAAGCCAGTTCTGTGCAAACAGATGCCACAAATATTTCACTGCAGAAGAGCCATCATGAAGTAATCAACAGGTAATAAGGATAGAAATGAGTGTCATAGAAGTAGGAGGAGGGCAGCCCAGGGAAAATGGTAGGGGATCAGAGGGAGGAGGTGTAGTCTCAGGAGATTCATCAGGAGACAATGGGTCCAGAGAGGGACACTGTTGTGACAAAAGGAATTCACATGAGCATCCAGGAGAGAGTGAGAGGGATAATAGGGAAGGAGACAGGGTTGGTGTAATGGG